CCTCCAGTGTCGGAGCATTTGCAACTTCTGGAGGCAAGCCGTTCCACTGGTTAATTGTTCTCACTGTCAGGAAATTTCTCCTTAGTTCTAGGTTGCTTCTCTCCTTGATTACTTTCCACCCATTGCTTCTTGTCCTGCCTTCAGGTGCTTTGGAGAATAGCTTGACTCCCTCTTCTTTGTGGCAGCCCCTGAGATATTGGAAAACTGGTATCATGTCACCCCTGGTTCATCTTTTCATCAGACTAGATCAGGGGTGGGATTCTACCAGTTCACACCTATTCGCTAGAACCGGTTGTTAACATTCTAAGTAGTTTGGAGAACCGGTTGTGAGAAGAAATTACTGGCCTAATCCTGTAAGGAAGGCAGGAAGGAAACATTCTGGTGTTGCTTACAGAAACTGCCTCTCTGTTAATCCTTATTACATTCTTGGCAGGACTAGACTTCCTGTCTCTGGAACTTCTCTGGAGTTTTTTTTCCCCTCCTTTGCTGATACTTTGCTTGTGTGGAGTGACCAATTACAATGGCACTGAAAAAAGTGACTTATGACCATTTTTCACACTTACGACTGTTGCAGCATCCCCACAGTCACAAGAGGCCAGGCGAGGAGAGGCATGCCTCGTTGTGAGTGATGTTGAGTTGGCCACGCCCAGCCAGTCACATGACCACCAACCCACGCCCACCAACTAAGCCAGGCCCACAGAACCGGTTGTTAAAAAAATTGAATTCCACTTCTGGTTGACCCCCTCATCTTTGTGGCAGCGCCTCAAATCAATTGTCCTCCAAAGCACCTGAGAGCAGAACAAAAAGCAATGGGTGGAAACTAATCCAGGAGAGAAGCAACTTAGAACTAAGGAGAAATTTCCTGACAGTGAGAACAATTAACCAGTGGAACCACTTGCCTCCAGAAGTTGTGAATGCTCCAAAACTGGAAGTTTTTAAAAAAGATGTTGGATAACCATTTTTCTGAAGTGGTGTAGGGTTTCCTGCCTAAGCAAAGGTTGGACTAGAAGACCTCCAAGGTCCCTTCCAACTCTGCTATTCTATTCTATTCTATTCTATTCTAAAATATTGGAACACTGTTATCATGTCTCCCCTAGTCAATTTTTGGACAAATTAGACAATTTTTCATCCTACAAATAACAAGCTCTACTAAACAAGATAGACAATGTTTGCAAACACATTCCAATTAATTTGAACCCACAAGGCTTCTAAGATGCATATAGTGGTAGAGTTATCCAATGATGCATTATGCAGCACAGACCACGATGACAAACATGCCAATTGTCATCTCCTGCTACCTATGCAAATACGGAAATAACCCCCCACCCCTTTTCCTCTGTTACTGCACAATAGACACAGGTCTTTTCATCCAGTGAACTGTCCCTGGCTATTGCTGAGTTTATGAATGTATATCACAGGTCTTAGTCAAGTGACTCTACTTACAACTTTCACAGTGTGCTCGCTGTCTGGATACTCAGAATGCCCACTGTTTTGTTCCGGCGAAGTCACACATGTACGAGATAAAGAACTGCTGACAAGAGGCAAATGATCACTTTTTCCTCTTAATCCTCCTATTCATTCTATGAGTTGGCTTGTACTTTTTCAGGATTACTAAAGGCAGAGAAGATGAGAACTATCAAGAGGTTGGCATGTTAGCTGTCATTAACATCTCCAAACTGGGCAAAAGGTCTACAACGAGGCACATTGTTTCTTTGAAACAAATGATGTGCCTTATGTTGAACACAGATATTATTAGTTAATGAGCGAGAAGGTACATCAGATACACCAGATTGCTCCTGCTTTTCTGCTGTTGTAATAATAAACTCCCATTGTGGCTACCAATTCTTATTCTGTCCATTAGTTCTTAATTAATGCTCCTGACATGGAATATAAAAAGTAAACAACCGTTGCTTTGCTTCGTTGTTTAATTAAGCAGAAAAAAAAATAAACTTTCCAAAATGTAGACTCTGTATTTAGAGTCCAAAAGCTGCCAATAATAATATGAACAAATGTATTTGTCTTGCTAAGGTTGCTTTCTTCTCAAGTGAAGCTTCCTATAAGTTTTATCAAACCCTTTTTGCACATACAAGTTCTTTTTCCATCAACACAGCTTGAAAAAGACGGCTTTCCCCAAGGTCAAACATCTTTTCTTTTTCCAGATTGTAAGCTTTCTAGTCTTCTTGAAGAACTTGAGTAAAACTGCCACCCTCAAAACAGGTGGGTAGCCCTGAAGTCCAAGGATCTCATATTTTTGAGTCTCCATTTTGCAGCATTTAATGTCAAAAACTGATGACACAGTTTCTGAACATTTTGAAATGGAAGAAGAGATGGCAACTGGAGCATAAGTTTAGAAATAGGCGTATCATATTTTATTTTATATAAGATAAAGGCTATATTAGCACTTGATAACTTGATAATCTCTAGGGGAAATGCTTAGCTCTGTATATCACAACATATAATCAGAAATACTTAGTCCAAACAAGAAGCAGCCAAGCAGGAAAATAAGGGGGTTTTAAGAGGAAAAAGAAACCCCTCACCAACCTTAAGGAGGAATAGGCCATCTCATTGTGGCCAATTCACCACAAGACAACTTGCTATGGCCCATCGCTGTGGGACAATTTTATGTGGAATAATTCAACACGATAAATACAATCCACCACTATTCTTTGACATTATTTCCATTGACAAAAGTGGAGATAATGTAGAAGAAACAGTGGCTGATAACATTTATTGCATTGAGTTACCCTAGATGGATGTTGTGGCCCATTGGCTGCCAGCAAAGTGAGCTGCAGAGTCAGATGGGGAGGAGGTTGAGAGAGAGCCTGAACCAGCTTCGGAAGGCTGATAAGGAAACAGTATCAGAGATAGAGACAGAGTCAGGGCCTTCCATCCACCCCCAGGTGGAGAGGCAGCTGTCTTCAGGGCCTGAGCTAAGTGGGTGGGGGGAGGAAAAGATGGGGCCCATCCCAGATGCGCTTATGCACAGAGAGCAAAGGAGAGGAGAGCAAAGGAAAACAATAAGCCGGCTCTCAAGGAAAAGCAGACATGGATGCCAGCCAGCCTCTCCCTGGCTGGGAAATAAATAGGAGGGGCTTGGGAGTAGCTTGTTGTCACAGACAACTGTTTGTTTTTAGGATAGCAAACAATTTGGTTTTCTTGGCCAGGTCTGTTGGGACTTATTATGTTTGATTTTTGTTTATCCATGTGAATAAAAGACTGTTCCTACCCTGCTTGAAAAGGGGTTTGTTTTTACTTGTGAGTAAGCAGCTTATCATTACCTGCTAAAGCTGGGTCAGAACAATGGATTGTTCCTTGGAGAGTTGTCCTCTGGTGAGTTGGCCACAGGGAGATGGCTGTGGTGAGTTGGCTACAGCAAGATGGCCACGGTGTGTTGGCTGTGGTGAGTTGTCCTAGACCAGGGGTCTTCAGACTTGGAAAGTTTAAGACTTGTGGACTTCAACTCCCAGAATTCCTCCTTCAGTCGTGTTAGCTCGGGAATTCTGGGAGTTGCAGACTACAAGTCTTAAACTTTCCAAGTTTGAAGACCCTTGTCATAGACTCACCTGAGGAATAGATGGTGGTCCTGGACATGTTTGCAAAAGAGACAACTGCTGACCAGGTATTTGAAGGGTAGACTTGTTCACCACTGTTCCAGAAGATAGGAGAAGAAACTGTGCAACAGGGAAATAGTTGGTGGGTCTTTTGGGAGATGGTAGACTCTCATTTTTTGAGATGCTTCAATAATCAGAGATGTTGAATGTCCGGTGGTACACAAGTTGAATGAATTATTTTGATTATGGTTCATTGCATAGTCAGCCAGATGTTTAGACCAGGATTTGACATTTTTATCCACTTATCAAATTCTTCCCAAGGACCTGGAGTAAATAGATGTTGTTTCCTGGTGTTAAAGATATCACCACAGGGTATACAGTAAGCTGTTCCAAGCTTTAAGGCAGCCTTTTGAAACTGACTGATGGTGATTTTTGTCAAGGCCGATGGTACTCAAGTGGTATCCAATAGTTTTGGGATGGCCCCGAAAAGACACCGATTATTATTGGTGCTATTAACAACTGTTATTGTTGTCATTGCAGTTATTAAATTACTGCTCTGGGCAGTGGATTGCATTAGATAATTTCCAACAGCCCTCACATACTATGATCTGGGATACTGTATTGCTTGTCAAACATTCAGTTCCATGTATTTTTCTTTTCCCTTGGTTTCATTGTAGTATTTCAATCTAATCTTGGATTATAATACATTTGGTCCTTGATCACATCATCTCAAGCTAGGGTGGATCAATCTATTTTCATTGTGTCTTTTTTTCCTCCCTGTTTTATTTCTATTTTAAAATGGAAATCAGAGGTGGTATTCAGCAGGTCCTGACCAGTTCTGGAGAACAGGTAGCAGAAATTTTGAGTAGTTCAGAGAACCGGAAAATACCACCTCTGACTGGCCCCACCCCCATCTATCCTCTGCCTCCTGAGTCCCAGCTGTCGGCTGGGCCTTCTTTTGTTGCCCTGCACAGGAGAACGGAGCTGGAAAGCAGGTTAGTGGAGTGGGGTGGGAATGGAGATTTTGCAGTAACCTTTCCCCAGGAGTGGGGAGGGAATGGGATTGTGCAGTATCTTTCCCCTGCCATGCTCACCAAGCCACATCCACAGAACCGGTATTAAAAAAAAATTGAATCCCACCACTGATGGAAATCATAACAAGAACTTTCAATATCTGTATTAAAATAGAATGTATTTTTCCCCCTTAGGAAATGGCACTTATCAGTTGTAATTAAATCTTCAATTGGAAGAAAGGTTCAGTGAATTAAATGGAAGTTCACTTCAGAGGAGCAGTAGATTATACTGTCAAGAACTATATTGCAACATATAAACAATGACACAAGCTCTGAGGGGTGATCAGCCTCCACTGTAATACATTTGTTTTCCTGGCTTGCCATACCAGGAAATGTCTACATCAGCTCTAATTCTTCCAGTTGTCATTTTGTACTTCAAGCAGACTTCAGCATGACCTCTCTCCATAACAGTCTTGTTAACTGTGCATTCTTTGCTTGACCATTCTTCATGGGGTCACGGCATGACTTTATGGCTCAAATACGTTTGCACAGGAAGTTTGCAAAGATTCAGTTCCTATTTTGAACTTGAGCAGTCCAGGGAAGAAAAAATAACTTTGGGGTAAACATTTTCCTTCTCTTTTTCTTCTTTGTTCCTTCAGCTGTGCTGCTTTCCCATAATTTAATTTAATTTAATCGAACCACCTCATTTCCCATTCATGGAATGTTATGGAAAACTTGGCTGTTTCCCAGTTGCTGAGATCTCACCACCTCCCAAAATTTCAAACATTCAATGTAACAAAAAGAAGCATAAAATCAGAGGTGGTATTCAGCAGGTTCTGATCAGTTCTGGAGAACCGGTAGCAGAAATTTTGAGTAGTTTGAAGAACTGGCAAACACTACCTCTGACTGGAGATTATACAGTATCCTTCCTCTGCCACGCCCACCAAGCCACACCCACAGAACCAGTAGTAAAAAAAACTGAATCCCACTACTGGTTCTGACCAGTTCTGGAGAACCGGTAGCAGAAATTTTGAGTAGTTCGGAGAACCAGCAAATACTATCTCTGACTGGCCCTGCCCCCATCTATTCTCTGGCTTCCAAGTCCCAGCTGATCAGCTGGGTCTTCTTTTGTTGCCCTGCACAGGAGAACAGAGCTGGAAAGCAGGTTTGTGGGGTGGGATGGGAATGGGGATTTTGCAGTATCCTTTCCCTGGAGTGGAGAGGGGATGGAGATTTTGCAGTATCCTTCCCCTGCCATACCCACCAAGCCATGCCCACAGAACTGGTAGTAAAAATTTTTTGAATCCCACCACTGCATAAAATAGTCTTCCATTTCTAAAGCAGTAATCTAACTAGCTATCTAGCAGATCCTGATACAACAGGAAAGATAGCAAAACTGCATTTAATGGAATCACAGAATGTTATTGCAGTTCCGGAACAACAGAATGTTATAACAGAACTGAATAACAGGATGTTATTCTGTTATTCCATTAAATGCAGTTTTATGGGATCTTAGTGGGTGTTCTAGTCCAACTCTTTGCTCAAGCAGAAGACCCTATGTAATTCTGTACAAATGGCTCTGCATTCTCTTCCTAAAAACCTCTGTTGGTGGAGCATCTACAGTTTCCGAAGGCAAGCTGTTCCATTGATTAATTGTTCTCACTGTCAAGAAATTTCTCTTTAGTTCTAGGTTAGATCTCTCCTTGATAAATTTCCATCCGTTACTTCTTGTCTTGCCTTCAGATACTTTGGAGCAGGGGTCCCCAACCACCGGGCCGCGGACCGGTACCGGGCCGTGGAGCACTCTCTACCGGGCCGCAAAGAATTTTTTTTTTAAAAAATGGCGGCTTTCTTCACCTTCGGTGAATGCTGCTGGGATCGGGGATCAAGGACACAAATGAAAGAAGGGGAGGGAGGAAGCAACCGAAGCCTGTCCTTCTCTCTGGGTCAGCTCTCTCAGTTGCTCTCTCGCTCCTCCACCAGCCCAGGAAGAAACTGCTTCAAAGAAGTGGGGGGGGGGCTTTTCCTGTCGCCGCAGCGCCTCCGAAGCGCCCGTTTCTCCCCCACCCCCACCCCGTCCGCCCGGCCGGGTAGAAGGGTTGGTGGAGCAGCGAGAGAGCGAAGCCTCCTTCTCTTCTCTCCCCCCCCCGGTCCTTGCAAAAATTTTCTGCTTGAAACCGGTCCCTGGTACAAAAAAGGTTGGGGACCACTGCTTTGGAGAATAGGTTGATGGCCCACTCTTCTTTGTGACAGCCCCTTAGGGTGAAGAACTATTTGTTTTCCTTAGCTAGAATGAGTGAAAAATGACCAAGAGACCACCTACAAACAAAGTAGCTGAGTGAGACACACAAACGTACAGAAGATCAAGTACAGTTTGCAATACTTTGCCATTGATTTGCTACCATTCAGTAACTGACAGAATACATGCAGCAGGTGATGCACAATGAATAACAGAGAAAGCCAAAGGATATCAAAAAGAAATAAATACATAGTCCACTGATTATAAGATAAAGGGAAAGGTTTCCCCTATCCAGGTGGGTCTGACTCTAGTTGGTGGTACTTACCTCTGTTTCTTAGCAGAGAGAGCCACTGTTGCTAAAAGACTCTTCCATGGTTATGTGGCCAGCATGATAATATGCCAAGGAATGTGGTTACTGTGGGAAACCCACCCCCTTCTAGAAGAATGAAATATTTTTGGAAATATTAAAAAGGCAGGATAAAATATTTCCCCTAAAGGAGAAATGGAAAAAAATCTTAAGGAGGTAGAAATCAGACACAGTTTCCCTACCCCAAGCAGAAACTGAGGAGGCCAGTTTTTAGAAATGCAGATTTGGTAATCCATTCAGAGAGACTGGATCAAGAAGAGAAACTCAGATAAGCAATAAACAAAAGCTCGACAAATTTAGCTCAGACACCTAGGATTTGCATTTTGTCTTTTGCCTAGAGAGCCAGCTATGATCCCTACATAACCCCTACATGACCCCCATCGGAATCCAGAAAGTATATAAAAAACCACCTACTCTAAACTCCATTTTGTCAGCTGTCCCTGAATCACATGTGGTTGGTGGTTCTGCTTCATCAATAAAGGGAACCTTTCTTTCCAATCAGCCTCAAATCAGCCTTGCAGCAGCATCTTATTTTTTTCAGCAACATCAGATTATCTTTCATAATATCTAAATGCAACTCAGATGGCTCTAGGACCATGATGGCAAACCTATGGTATGTGTGATGGAAGTGGCACGCAGAGCCATCTCCGCCAGCACACGAGCTGGAGCAGGTCCACTGCACATCCGTGCGTTCATGCTGCCTGCCCACCAGCTGATCGTTGGGTAGCTGCCGTGCATGTGCAGGGGGCAAGGCGCACGGGGGAGAGGTATGTGCATGTGCAGAAATGCGCGGGGTATGCGGGGGTCACATGCACATGTGCAAAAATGCACGGGTGCATGGGGTGGTGGTCATGCGCGCATGTGAAGAAACATGCAGGGGGTTGTCACACGTATATGCGCAGAGACGTGTGGCACACATGGGGGTCATGTGTGCATGCACATGGGGTGTGGGGAGGCCTTATGGGTGCAATGATAGAAAGGCTAGCCATCACTGCTCTAGGACAATTCACTGCGGTTGACTCACCCAGGCCATTTCACCATTGATGACTCACCACGGTCAACTCGCCACAGGACAAATTGCTGCAGGACAATTCAACGAGGGATAACTCAAGAGAAGGAGAAATGAATCCCAGCAGGCCTTGCCTTCCGTTAGACTTGAACCTTCTCAAGTTAGAAGACCTTTGAGGCTGGGCCGAGCTGCAATTCTACTTGGGCCTCTCTTGAATTATCCAGCACTGAATTTCCCATGGCAAGTTGACCTGAGTCACATTGTCCCTCAATGAGTTGGCCATGCGAGTTGGCTGCAGTGAGTTGGCCATGGCAAGATGGCCGTGGCAAATCAGCAGTGGTGAGTTGTCCCATTCCAAATTCAAACCATGCATGGTTTCCTCTTTTTGGTCTTCTCTCCTCTTTTGTGCATGCCAGCATCTGTGGCCCAAAGTAACTGCCCGTTGCTTAACACGAGCCTCGGTGGCACAGTGGTTAGAGTGCTGTACTGCAAGCTACTCCTACTGTAATTTGGCAGATCGAATCCCACCAGGCTCAAGGTTGACTCAGCCTTCCATCCCTCCAAGGTGGGTAACATGAGGACCCAAATTGTTGGGGGCAATATGCTGACTCTGTAAACCATTTTGAGAGGGCTGTAAGGCACTATAAAGTGGTATAGAAGTCTAATAGCTATTGCTATTGCTATTAAAGCCAATCTTAAATGAAGTAGAATATGCCACTTCCAGTACAGTGGTGGTATTCATTTTTTTTATTACCGGTTCTGTGGGCGTCGCTTGGTGGGTATGGTGTGGCTTGGTGAGTGTGGCAGGGGAAGGATACTATAAAATCCCGATTTCCACACCACCCCAAGGGGAAGGATATACTGCAAAATCCCTATTCCCTCCCCACCCCACTAACTTGCTTTCCAGCTCCGTTCTCCTGTGCAGGCCAACAAAAGAAGACCCAGCCAATCATCTGGGACTCGGGAGGCAGAGAATAGATAGAGACAGGGCCAGTCAAAGGTGGTATTGGCCAGTTCTCTGAACTACTCAAAATTCCCACTACCGGTTCTACAGAACCTGTCAGAACCGGCTAAATACCACCTCTGTTCCAATCCCATGTAGGTTTTGTGATTACTGACCAGAAATACTGAAATACATAATGTTTAGTTCCCATTAGTTTTGTTCTTTGGAGGGGTGAATAAGATGTTATTCATCCCTTAATATATATATTTTTTTCCCTCTGGGTGTGCTTGAAAGTTGCAGATAACTAACATGTATCATATGGAAGTTTTTTTTCTCTGATATTGTATTATTTTTCTTATCGTTTCTTGTTGCTGAGGCATAGCTGCTCATATTTATAAGTTGCTTTTATTTTCTTTATTAGTTAAGCTTGCAATATTACGGGTCCTATCGGAAACCTTAAGATGTAATCACTTCTTTATTCCTCTGGGTATAAGCTTGCCAATTAATTTAATCAAATATTAACTTCTTACGTCGGTACAGGTAAGATATTAGTTTAAATGTTTATACAAGAGAGTTTTTTAAATTAAAAATGGTCAACATTTGTAATTTTACTATTAAAAAAAACTCCACAGGAATGTTTCAATCGATTCATGTAATGTTTATTACTGCCTTAAAGTTAAAGCAAACATTTTTTTCCCAGTGAAGTGAGTTTAGACTCTGATAAAAGTTGAACTGTGTGCAAAATTCATTAAGTGGTACAAAAGTTACAGACAAAGGACAGCAATTGTGTTTGGTTACAGCATTATGCAATCATTGTGTGAATTGGGTGTCCTTGAAAGACTGTGAAGTTAAGCATGTGGATCTAAAATTGTAAAGAAGATGCTATTTTCCTCCCATTCATACCTAATTCTGTGCATTGGGAAATTCAGTGATACCTCAGTAATTGGTTTCAGAAGGTGTGATGATTACTAAAAATGATGAGTACCAAACAATTTTTCCTCATAAGGAATAATATAATAAGTCACAAGGCAGCTGACACTGACAATTCTAGGTTGTGCATTGATTACTAAACAAATGATGAATACCAGGACAAAATGCTCACATCAAAATGCACTGAGTACCAAATTCAATGAGTTTCAGAGTAGTTGAGTACCAAGGTATACCACTGTATTTGGTAAATAGAATAGAATAACAGAGTTGGAAGGGACCTTGGAGGTCTTCTAGTCCAACCTTGAGCTCAGGCAGGAAACCCTACACCACTTCAGACAAATGGTTATCCAATCTCTTCTTACAAATTTTCAATGTTGGAGCATTTACAGCTTCTGGAGGCAAGTCTTTCCACTGGATAATTGTTCTGTCAGGAAATTTCTCCTTAATTCTAAGTTGCTTCTGTCCCTGATTAGTTTCCCATTGCTTCTTGTCCTACCTTCAGATGCTTTGGAGAATAGCTTGACTCCCTCTTCTTTGTGGCAGCCCTTGAGATATTGGAACACTGCGACCCTGTCAACCCTAGTCCTTCTTTTCATCAAACTAGACATACCCAGTTCCAGCAAAATTGAGCAATAACTTAAGACCTGTAAGTGTAGAAAAATTCTGAAGCTGCAGCCCAATGAGTTTGCATTCTCCTACTCTTCTGGAAAAAAAAGTCACCAAACTTTATAGTTATAGTTATGTGTCCTCTGATGAGATATGTTTCTTGGACAGCCACATACCTCAATAGGAAAACAGCTGCAGCGTTAATGAAAAAAACTGCAGGAATATTTCCTAAGAATATTTTCTAAGAGTGGGGGGGGGGGGGGGAATGTTCCCAGCTGTTAGCTCAGGTCCCTTTTGGGAGAACATCTGAACATGGGTCTGGAGAGGTTGCATCTGGCTTCATTTCCCCATGTTCGGCCTTGCTGATCTGGTTCCGTTCCGTCCCTCCATATTTGCAGTTCAAACAACCGAAAGGTCTGTTAAGAAATCACTGCCACATTGTTCAGCCAGTCATAGCAAGTAAATAGATGGGCTCCTAATTAAGAACATATTACGGGAAAAAGCTCAATGGAGATAAGCCATTTAACTATATATATATTTCTGTGCAAAGGCATAGTTATTTTTTGTTGAAAAAAATAAATAAAATTAGATGTTTGTTGCTGTTGCTTTTGAACTTCTGGAAGAACATGTGGTAGTGTATTAAAACCCACCTCCCAACAAATTAAAAGCATCCTCAGATAAAAATAACCCTGTTCTCCCAGACCTTTCAAATTGAAACCAATGGAAGTTTTGTTTATTTGTTTGGCCACTTTCTTATCAGCTTATCATGAATAAATGCATGGCTGAAGCACCAGCTGTTTTTCACATCTGGGCAGCAAAAGGTGTTGCATGTGGCTTTTACAACATATGCTGCTTTATTGATGTTGATGTTATTTTTCCAAGCAAATCGAATCGGTGGAAGAAAATGCCAGTGTGGCTGAAATGAATATGGATTGGATGGTAGAAAAAAAGGAAATAATTATAATAATAGCCCATGAACCCATTAAAATTACTAATCCATTTACTCTTTGCTGTTTTGTCTTCTGAAAACACCTAACACTTGTTTCTATAGGCACTCCTTGACTTTCAGTCATTCATTTAGTAACTGTTTGAAGTTTAAAAAAGTGACTTTTGATAGTTTTTCACACTAAACAACCATTGCAGCATCCCTATAACTGTCTGGTTTGGTTCTGCAACACAACAGGACAGACACAGACTTCAGAGGGCTATTGGGACTGCAAAAAAACAATTACTATCAACCTGCCTTCCATCGAGGACCTGTCTACTGCACAAGTTAAAAAGAGGGCTGTGAAAATATCTACAGACTCCTCACATCCTGAACATAAACTGTTTCAACTCCTACCCTCAAAATGACGCTATAGAACACTGCACACCAGAACAACTAGACACAAGGACAGTTTTTTCCTGAACGCCATCACTCTGCTAAACAAATAATTCCCTCAACACTGTCCAACTATTTACAAAGTCTGCACTTCTATTACTATTAATCTTCTTGTCACTCCTTATCACCCATCCCCTCCCACTTGCGACTGTATGACTGTAACTTTGTCGTTTGTATCTTTACAATTTATACTAACTGTTTCCTAGTATGATTTGATTGCTTATTGTACCCTATGACTATCATTAAGTGCTGTACCTTATGATTCTTGACTCTTGACAAATATATCTTTTCTTTTATGTACACTGAGAGCATTTGCACCAAGACAAACTCCTTGTGTGTCCAATCACACTTGGCCAATAAGGAGTTCTTCTTCTTCCATATGATCAAATATTTAGAGGAGAATCATCATTTTTTTTAATGACCCCATAATCTCTAGCGGGGTGGAGTCTGGGCAGCTGAATGGAGCTGAGTATTTACTGGCTGGATGCCCTTCCTGTTGCCAATGCAGAGCTTTGTTCAGCAGATATATTCTCAGTGTGCCCAGAGAGAGAAATATCTGTCTCTACCTAGGATTGAACTCACAGCCTCCAGATTGTGAGGCGAGAGGTCTACCACTAGGCCACTGCCCCACTCAAAATATTTAGAAGAGAATATTTGGAAATATTTGGAGGAGAAAGAAGACTAGAAGAAAGGAAGATAAAACATTATTTGCCTTTGTTTATACAGAAAGAAAGAAAGAAAGAAAGAAAGAAAGAAAGAAAGAAAGAAAGA